ACCAGAAAACGTGCAAACGGGTGGGTTCCACTTTGTTTCACACCCTCCACAGCAAGTCCCAAGGGAAATGCTCTTTATTTGTATTCTGTACACAAGAGGGTGTGGAAACATGTAATGTTGTTTCCATTGCCTGCAATCTTTCCCTAATATTTTCCCCACTGCAGCCTGGCCCGGCCCCAGGACTTACAATTTCAAGTGCTCCCATCAACATGAAACTGGACAAGCAGATAAGGTTCAGCAGCTTGCTCAGTAGTTTCTCTTCCAAGCTTATGACACTATGGCGGGTCTGTAAGTAAAAAGCTGTCATCCTGTGTTTTTTGATATATGCACAACAGCTTCACAGGAAGGCTCTGCCTCAGATGCAGCAAGCCCAGTTAAATCCACAAGCACCCATGATGTTCCCTCCACATAAGCTCAGTGTCACTATGGAGCCTGCTCCATCTTCCACCACATTCATTGGGCTTCAGTGGTTTTAAGCCCACAATCTAGAAAAAGTTAATTTCTAGTAGAGTATGTATCTGTGTGAACAAATAAAAAAAAAAAGCGTATCGTCTTGCTGGCAAATAGTCAAAAGTAAGGTTTTAGCCAGTGCTTAAACTTGGCATTTTGGCATTACAAATTCTTTATAAACAATAATGATTTAAGCCCCAGCAGCCCCATGGGCTAAATACAGAAAGGCATGGATTATCCTTTACTTGAAGATACAGAAACAGACACGCAGCCATTAAGTGACTCACCAGGTATTTATGACCACAGGAAAAAATTCAAAGGAGAAATTACTCCAGTGGCTTCAGATACGGCTGCTTCTTTCCATTCTCTCTTCCCCCTGCTTCCTCAGTTATTTGCTCTCACCCAGCAGGACACTTCTTCCTGGCTTCAACCCAAAGACCCATAAACTATAGGCAGGATCTTCTGATCAGGAGGTGGCCCTATGCTTCATGGACTGAATTTTTCCCTCTCAAGGGGCAGGGAGCAGGAAAGAGGCATCAGTTAGCACTGGTGGTTCCTGACCATAGGTGGAGGAGGTGGTACCTCAGCTCATAGCCCACCCACCTCACCTCTGGGGAGCCCAGCAGACCTGGGCACCGCTGTAGCTGGATGCACAGCAGCTGCTGCAAGACATAAGCAGAAGCCAGGAGGTTTGCAAGTGAGAAAGTCCAGAAGGCTGCATTCCTCCCAGGGGCAGCCAGTGGTGCTCGGGGGAGAGGGACATGGTGGGGACCATGCTGCTAATGCCGGTATCTGCTTGGCAGCCAGGCTGCCTGCCCTGCACCCTTTATCAGCACTAAACAGAGCTCCAAAGGGGGAAAAAAAAAAAAACCCACACATGAAAAGAAGCACTTTCTAATGCAGGATGTAAACCTTAACAGCTAACATACCAGGGCTAGAGACTAAGTAACGGTGTTACATGCCCTGACCTTCTTGGTTAATCAAATCTGTTTCAAGAAAAGTAGGAGCAAGCTCCCCCAGGGGTGGGAGGGATCCCAAATTACAATGTACTGAGCGTCCTTCCCCGCTGGGCCAGCTGAACTGTACAAAAGCATCAGGAAAAGCAAAAAAGAAATTGTTACATAGTTCAACCGTCCTATGACCTCCGTGTTTCATCCAGGAAAGGTCAGATCTAATCTGATCTTCAGATGCCTTTGAGTCAAATTTCAGCCTCAGCCAAATCCTCGACAGACGGTTTGGAGGCACGCTACAGCTTCCCAGCAAACACCAGCACCAACAGAGTAAGTACCAGCATGTAGGTTGGTGCCTTGCTCCCCGTACAGATGCCCCCAAAGCCCATTCTCACCAGGTCATGGGGGTTTTAAACCACCCAGGGTCTATGAACAAACCCAGCAAACCAGCCCCTGCACACGCACATTTCTCAAGGTGAGAGCTCTAGTAAGGAAGAGGCTTTTTTGTTACAAAGCTGCCAGGGGGGGTAGTTACTAAGAAGAGACAATTTTTAAAGAATGAAAGCTTGCTTTGAAGATAGACTCCCACTCTTTGCAGTCGCAGGCCTGGCCGCCTCAGGCTTTGTACACCTGGAGCCCAATCCTGCAGACTCCCCATAAAGCTCCTCTCAAAGACAAGGAAAGGTTCACAGGACTGAGCTTCCCATTCTGCCCCGTTACCTTTTTTGGTGCTTTCTGCACTAGCCGGTAGAGTCCAGACAAGCTCTGCAGATGGACAGCTAATGCTGCCCTCTTGGCTCTCTCTTTCTTAGGCATATATGGTTTCCTGTCCCTCTTTGCTCACACACACGGCGATCAAACATCACCAAGTTGTACCCTTGGTGGTACAGGAGGGGTTAACAGCTCCACCGGATCTTTCATACAAATGAAAACTCAGGCAGCCAGCAGAATAGGTCTCATGTAAGCAACTAGTGAGAAAACAGAGTATTTTAAAACAGTCCCAGGGCATTCAAATCTTATTTGTCCCGCAGGAAGGAAGTCCTGCAGGCCCTTAATTTTCTGCAGTGAAAAAAGCACCCCTGTAGGCTGGGCCACTCCAGCCACCCACAGGGAAGGGTGAAAGGAGGAGAACTTCTAGCCAGGGTCTTGGTAGATCCTCCCTGGCATCTTTCTCTTCAATGACAGAAATTATGTCCCAGAAGGCAGCCAGCAAAAAAGCCTTGCTTTCCTTTTCTAGTCCACTTGGAACCAGTAGTGCCGAGCCCTAACCCCATGTGGGTCCGGACAGATGCTGACCAGCATTGCCTCCACGCCACACATGGCCCCATGAAGGAGACTTCCACAATCTTCCCATCTTAATGCACTTCAACTTTCTCTCGAATGCCAGCCAGAAGACCTTACAGCCCCCCCTTTCCTGTCAGATCTCCTAGCTTTCAGTGTCACTGTTGTATTGTGTATCAGTGTGGGACAAGAAGTAAAAGCACAAGGGAGGCTACCCCTTTCTCAGGCTGCTTCATGTCAGAATAATGCTGAGAGCATAGGAAGCAGCAATTGTGGAAAATCCCTTATTCTCCTAATACATGCTTACATCACTCACTGTCAAAGCACATTCAGAGTACACAGGACTCCCCTTGCGTCAGGTCCTGCATCCGCTAATGACAGTATTGATTTCACCAAGACTAATCCTGTGAATGACGGCTGGGGAATTGATCCTCTTGTCATTGACATGCTGCAACAAAGAGGAGTTTTCAGGAAATACAAGTTATTTCAATTTGGCATCTTGTTCAGAGAGGCATCTTATCCGGTGGTTCTTCTCTGCCCTCCTGGTTTAGGTATTACATTAAGGCGTGCAGGCTTCACTGACTAAGATACCTGCCTATCAGAAAGCCTCCCAAAGAAAGGCAAACCTGTACTTTCTTCAAATATGTTGGGAATAGGTCAGATTCACTTTACCTTAGAGGTAATTTAATTAAGCAATCGGACCACTTACTTCCTTAAAGCACTGCTACATTTGCAATTTATGTTAGAACAGTCCCTTTAATTGGTTTTGGTGTATGTTGGTTTAGGATCTTATTTTGTCTGTCAATGGCAGGAGAAAAAGGTATGAAATTTGTCTGCAGATGCATATGCTCACAGAGAACCCACTGCTACTTTTAATGAGACAGAGAAAGAATGGAGGTAGGGACCCAGGGTTCTTTGGTTGCAAATCATACAAGCACAATCATTCACAGTATGGTATCTAAAATAGACAAATTATAATAAATACATGGTTCTCACAAAAGAAACACTCTCCCTCCTTATTTTCTTTGAACTGCTGCCAAGGAGGGAATGTGTTCTTTTCACAAATTATTGTCCTGCATGCCTTTTAGCAAGAGAAGCCTTCTCAGCTACACGAAATTGCATACAAACTGCATACTCTGAAAATAAACACTCCTCTGAAAATAAATATTCCCTGAAAAGTCATTTTAAAACAGTTATCTTGCCCGCTCATCCAAATAATATATGATATATGAGAAAATTCATTTCTATTGCTGCAGGTCTGGCCAGAGGTTAGTAGTTTGGTCAACGCCTGCTGCTCCCAAGTACCCATCTGCAGCAAACTCCATCCCTCCCTTCGTGTTCCCAGCTCTTTCTCTGAGAAATCCCCTGCTACGCCGAATATCTTGCTATCAGCAGCCAGCCTCGCACAAAGCCTTCAAACTGCCCCAGCATGTCAAAAGGAGCTGGGAAGGAGAGTCCCGGCAGCGCTCCCACTGACACACACACACACACACACACACACACAGAGAGACCCAGACTTTTAAGAGCTGCGGTCCCACCCCAGCGCATTTTTTCTCTCCCCCTTTTAACAGGAAAGACAACTTTCACAAGAAACATTCTGGCAAGCAGGCTGCTGCGCACGTTGAAGGCTGGAGACAAAAAAAAACGGATGCCGTTCTATTGTCAACAATACTCCTAGGAAAGGCTGCCATGATGGACATCTGCTCCAGCGAGGATCAGATCACTTACATTAACCAGAGCTTTACTGTATCTGTATCACTTACGCCGGGAGACTGCCTTTACAATCAGGCTGCCCTGAAAAAGCTCAGGGATTAGGTTGCAAAAATTAAAAGCAGTTCGCCAGCCATTACCACACTGAAAATGTTTACATTGAAATTCCTTTTTTAAAAAAAAAATAAATAAATATTATTTTTTTTAAAAAAGGAAAACTAAAGAAAAACAGATAGGTTATTTCTCCACTAACAAACCCGCTGCAGGAACTCACATGGAGTGGGACCGGCACAGATCCTGGCTCTCACCCCCCAACACCTCTGCATTAGGGTCTGCTGGGGTGGACAAGCATGCACCCCCCTCCACCCTCCCCGCACAGATATCTCCCTTAGTTCACAGCAAACATCTGGAAAGAAACGGGGAGGGGGGGGAGAGGAGGGGGGGGGACACACGACACACGAAGAGAGGAGGGGAGGAAAAAGAGTATCCGACACTTTTGCACTATTTCCACGGCTCGTTAGGTTTCGCATGCTGCTTAATCTCTAGCCGTAATGCAAACGCAGTCAGAGCAGCTCATTCCCAAACAAATAACGTATCTGAAGCCCTTACCTCTGCGGCTGAAAAAAGTTTTCAACTAGTAGGAAGGAAATGAATAACTGGCTGCTTGGGCAGGAGCACAGAGCAAGAAAGGCACACCAGCAGCCTCACACACAGCTCTATTCAATAAAACTACAGCTTTTCCTTGGCCCCTCCCAAAAGTCAATGCTAAGTGAATACATATCCCTTATGTTTACAATTGGCAGGCAGCGGTATGCATTGTCCTCAATTTATTCTAATAGGCAGCCAATGACTACGCACAAGCCAAGGTGGGTTCAGCCTGCCTGCAGAGATGCCTGTCATTCCCTAGGCATGCTCAGGAAGCCACTCATCAGAAAACCAAGACCTAAAAAGCTCCGAAAATTCGTGCAAGCTGCCAAAACTGTCTTGCTACATGCCCTTTTTTGGTTATCCTTAGCAGGGCCTCTGAAAGTAAATCCTCTGTCAGGAACAATCATAAGAAATGTTAATCTTGGAGAAAGAGGCTGTCTTGTTGAACACAAATGGAGCTTAAAAAAGGAAATACACTGAATGGAAAGGGACACAGTAAACATATTTACTTTTTGCACCAGTCGAAAAAAAAAATCAAATAAATAATTTCACCACAGCTAAACTTCATTGTATTTTTTTTAACGAGGACCACATGTAAAAGGGAACACAAACGCTCTGCTGTGCAAGCTTGATTCTGCAGAAAGAGAGACACACCAGTGGGAAAGGCACATGAAAGATGAGTTGGCAGCCCTCGCAGCCCGTTTCCATTTCAAATGGTACAACAGAAGTTACATATAGAATATCCGTGTTCTGAAAAATAACTTTTAAAGGGATTCAAAACTTTGATGATGATCAAGTTGGACTAGTAGGATACACGGGTTTAGTTTATAGGTATACAGTTATTTATCTAGACATTAAAACTGATACTTCACTATAAGGATAATCCTACATCTACATATTATGACCAATACGTTTCACTGTCTTTGAATACCATAAATAAAGTAAGCTTAGATAATGTTTTATCTTTGTTTGTTTGTTTTGCTTTAGTGATCACACACTATTGATAACTTTCTAAATTATGCAGACGGCTTAAAAAAATGAAAGAACAGATGAAGACTAATGCTGGAAACAAATGAGCTACATAAACTAATTAAGAAAGCGTGAAAATAAATACAACAATTATTGCCAAGGCAAACAGCACAGTACATAGATCCTAACACATGCTTGTACCAAGCACCAAGAAAAGCTCCAGGAGAACTGCTGACTGCTCTAAGGGGACCGGAATCCAGACCAGGAGATATTCTGCAGATTCATATTTGACAATACTATACACAAAACCGGTTAGGGGGAAAATATGTGTAAGATGACTTCGCAGCTGAATGGGCTAAACTATTTTAATGCCTTTCTGGGTCTATTTTTCTGGCCACTGGGCCCCATGGATTTAGTCACATGTGTAACGCAAGAAGGATTCAGTCCACAGACAGTAAACTAATCTCTATAGCATGAAAAAGAAAATCCAAAGACGGCCAAATCTATGCAGATTTACAGCAAGCAATCATAATTATTCTAGTGTCACTTTAAATTTCACAGCTTTATTAGATGAAGTAAAAAATGGTGTTTGTTTTTGTAAGGCACTTTTTTTTCTTTTTTATCTAATAACCCTTTGGAACTTTCTTCTAATGCCAGACATCTCCCATGATGTGGCTGTGATGGTTTTAAATATTAGGAGGAATACATAACAGCATATGTGTAACTCTGTTTTTAAGGATTTACTAGACAAAGGAGAATAAAATTCTTGTTCTCAGTCATTCCTTTAACTGTAGAAATTATTAGCCTATATATTAATGACCAAATAGAAAGAGGTAGTGACATTATGTAAGAAGAAATTACAAATCTCTGCTGGATCTTACCATCCCCTAGATTTTCAGAATGTAAAACACTGAAGAATCCAGGCTAAGGAGTAAACAGCATCCAGAGATGCTGGCAGTCAGAACAGAAAACTGAATGGTAGAAGCATCTACAATCAATTATCAACCCCTGCAATCTCAGTGTCCACTGCAACAGGGAGCTAGCAGGTATGCAATACCTAAAGCTGAAATCAACTGTTTTGTTTTTGTTTTTTAAAAAGAATCATCATGAGTTTGATGCCCCCTTGTCAAAGCATCCCAAACTCTTTGTGTTCCAAGTCACTTTTCCATTAAAATTCTTCAAAAAGACCAATTGTGCTTTGGGGAAATGGCATCATGAAACGTAAAGTTTGCATCCTTCTTGCTGACCCGAATTTCACAGAATTGTCAGAGTTGGAAGGGACCTCTAGAGATCATCTAGTCCAACTCCCCTGCTAAAGCAGGGTTACCCAGAGCACATCACTCAGGACTGCACCCAGGTGGAGCTTGAAAATCTCCAGAGAAGGGGACTCCACACCCTCCCTGGGCAGCCTGTTCCAGGGCTCTGCCACCCTCACTGTAAAGAAGTTCTACCTCATATTTGAGTGGAACTTCCCATGTTCCAGCTTGTGCCCATTGCCCCTTGTCCTGTCACTGGAAACCACTGAAAAGAGTCCAGTTCCATCCTCCCTCAAACCACCCTTGAGATACTTATAAGCATTAATAAGGTCTCCCCTCAGCCTTCTCTTCTCCAGGCTAAAGAGTCCCAGCTCTCAGTTTCACTTACAGGAACTTTTGGATTCCATAACTTGAAACTTCAAAGCCAATGAACTGGCACAGATACTATAGTTTTCCAGGAGATATTACTGGAAATTTAAGTTATGAAGAATGCAGAGTTACATTCCAGTGGGTGCCCCTCCGTGTCCTATGACTGAAAGCCACTTGTACATGCCTGTTGTAAATACATAGTTATAATATGCCTAAACCCACAATTGCAGGAATTTAGGGAACTATCATGGTAGCCCTTGCCCTCATCACCAGGGTTGCCAGCCTAGCCACATCTTCCTATCCCCTCTGCTTTAACAATCACAGACTCTTTGTGTCATAGCACAGAGCTAAAAAACATTTTTGGGAGCTGAATAACCCAGGTCCTGATTTACGATGGCACATATAAGACATAGAAAAAGTAGTATATGCAGAAATTAAACACCCAAACCAAGCACAGTTTTAATATTGATACCTTATCATGGTAAGTAAGGGCCCTGCAAGTGCTCATTGCTAAGCTCTTGAGCTTGACAACTCAGGGCAAGGGTGGGACTTCTTGTGATAACAGCCAAAGCGCTTCTACGTGCTGGGCTGTTAGTGCGTTCTTGGAGACCTAAGCCTCCAGTCACTCCCTCAGAAGAATCATGTTGGAAGTACCTGGAAATCTCTGTCGAGACTGTGGCTCTCACAGGTTTATCAATTTTTCCTACAAAATTTACAATCTAAAGCTGAGGTAAGTCTGTGGTCGAGAAAGTACACTATAAATCATCCCCTGGGAGGCAGGTCTGGTTGCTGCGCACAGCCACTCTAAAGAACTTGCATTTCGGCACCACAAAGCCCTCAAGACTCAGCAGGCAGCGGTGACCAAAGGGGCAACCTGTATTATTGCTGTTCCAGTCCTCCAAGTGCCTTCTTCCCAAAGCAGCTCCAACAGCAAAGCTGTGCTCCCTGCCTGGAAAAATTCTTTCGGGTATTTGGGGAGGAATAATCTTTTGATTTTCAAAATGAAGTCGCTTTTTATTACTGAGCTTCCTGAAATTATTTTTCTTCTCTTTATTTGACATGGTGCACGTGACCATTACTGAGGAGCACTGAGCCTCCCACCACTGTCGTTGCAATGTCTTCAGCTGCCATTTCAGAAACGTAGAGGAAATATGCTCCCACCCCTGCACATTCCCACAATACAGCAAGATCCATACAGATCATCAAATACTCCATGGGGAAGGCCATTCTTCCCATCCGTACCCAACCAGTTTGGCCATTGCCTCACACTCCCAGTATCTATTTTTTTGGTGGTCTGTGCAGTTAACAGTAGGTCAACCTGTCCTAGTGCTCACAGCATAAAGACAGAAATCTTTAGAAAGAAACTCCCATCCTGTAACTAGCATGAGATGCTCCATGTTTAGATTGGGGGACCAAAGCTCTGTTTAGAAGAACCACAGCAGCAAGGTTCTGTGCTAGGAGTAACCAAGCTTATTCCCTAGCACAGAGACTGACACACAGAGGCAGGCTTCCTCCTGCACCAAGGGTAATGAAGATGTGTCACTCAGCCCTGCTGGCAAGAAAGCAGTCTTTAGTTCCAATCCCAGTACCAATAACAAAAGTGTGACATGCTGGAGTGCTGGCATGGGTCACAGACACAAAAGGTTATAATCCCGTCAGCATCAAGGGTCAACATCCATTGAGTCCTGGCAGCCACAGCCAGAGCTGAACATTGCTCTCCTTCTAGCAAACACCCCTTGGATCCAACTTGTAGCACTTTCATTTGTCACGTTTGGGTTCTCTTCACAGCTATGCAGCGCAACTGTTTGCTCTAAATAAAAGTCTGTCATTCTTTGTCTCCAAGTAGGACAGTGAGGGAAGGGAGTTATAACACTTCCAATGACAAAATACATCCCTGGAGGGTGACACAGCTGCATAAAGCAGGGGCAGAACCTTGGTCCTACCCTATGAACCCTCTAGGGAGCTGGAGAAGGTATCAAAAGACTAAGTCTTGAGAACAGAGGTGGGACTCTCTTCCCTGGCAACTAAACAAACCTCTCCTGCTCCTCACTGTATATTGCAGCATGCGACACAGTGTTGAATATCTCCAAGCACCCCTGAGATATCAGTCACCACTGCATCATTCTTCACTTTCAGCCCCTCCAGAATATAAGCTAAGTGAAACGTCATGACCAAAGATGAGAGGAACTGTTCTGAGATTACACAAGATGTCCAGGCTAACAAGATCCTGCAGGAAGTCCTGTTGTACATACCAGGGTAGGCGAGACCTGTGTTTCTTGCATGAACAGAAAGGACAAAGCTTCCTTTGGCCGCCAAAGGACACAACTGCCCTAAGGACCAGGTCGGATAAGAGGTATGCCCAGAGAAAAGTTAACACCAGGTGCACCAACTTACACTTATGCTTTCAGCCCTCCATACCCTGGTCAGATGCAGGACAATAGGTAGGGGCACCCTCTCCAGACTTTGATTTTTTCCTCCTTTGGTAAAAGAGAGCAGCAGGCAGGAAACATGCTGTGCACTCTGGGCTAGTTCACACCTCCTTCTCTTGCTCCAGGCCCGACTGGAAAGCATGGTTTGGCTCTGCACATTTTCTCA